TGACCAAAAAAGACCCAAATTTTGACTTTTGAAGTATAGCAGATTATGATTACCATTTATGATATTGTAAATAGTAGTCCACTTATGGGTTTGTCAATGTCTGGTACTGATACCTGTAGAGAGGAGGCAGGAGAATATAAAATACAAATTTGAGAGAAATCTTTTTGAATGTGTTCAGTGTAGCTGAGAACACTACTCTTTTTGTTAGCTGAAGGCATGATCAAATTAGCCAAATATTTAATGAACAAGGATGATCCATGAATGTGAAGAATTTCGCAAGGAACTGAAATTTAAATCCTGTGGAAATCTGTGGAGCTTTCTGCAGAGTTCTGTGTGGGCCTGCAAATTAGATGAAATTGCAGAAATTAAATGAACGCTTGAACACTTAAACCAAATGAACACTTATTTAACACAATATGTACTTATGATTCACAAAAGAAAAATGCGAATCATCCATGGTTGATTGTTAGTAGATTTAGGAACTGACACAAGGGAAATCTAACACCTGGGCATAGTTATTAACTGATACAATAATCTCAAAATGGCCAAAAATCATCTAATTAGTCAGTTGGTCTTTCACTAGAAAATGATATGTAAAAGGTGCCAGCATTAAGCACTATTCCAAATGGATTTACAAAGTGAGTCTGTGCATGATTTTGTGACTGTTATTGTCCAAAACCTTTGCAACAGTTCTTTGAAGCAGCATTAAGATGCAATTTCATGATGATTTGCTCTAATATTGTTATACTAGCATACTTCATTCTTATAAATATGAATGTTATCATTGCCAGTTCAGTACGTACTTGTAGTTCTCATTTGGAAATATGCATATCAAATAGTTTGGAATTCAATTTTTCAGACAAGATAATTTGTATGGGTGTTATTGATCTGTGTCTTGGCACATTTTACTCACTGCATGTGGCAAATACCCACAGTGCTACTTGTGATGGAAAAGAACGGGATTAACTTGCTAATGTTGCTAATTAAAAAGAGGGATGAGTCGGCGGTGCAGTTGTAGTGTCGTGTCATGCGGGCTGTCTGTGTCTTCCTCTCTGTGCTAATTACCACACAGCCTTCACTGGCTCCTGTAATGACTGTGGGTAGTTGAGACTCATGAGTTAATGCTGCTGCAACTGGTCATTAGGACCAAAAATGGGAGTAAATGAAAAGAATGTAGACTGTAAAACCAACTGTTACCTTTTTCTGAATGATGTTCTTGCTGAGGATACAATAGGGGGTGAAGCATTGGCACCACAGAGCTTTACATTTTGTAATTTCATAATAAGTGTCTCATCTTTGTTGCTAGAGTAGAAATGTTTAGGCGATAAACACTTGCTTACATTTCCTACTAATATAGAAGTTTTGAGCAGTGCGATGATATGATTTGTTTTGATGTAAGAAGTTCTGTAGCTATCATTCATCCTCAAAAACAAGCCAAAACTGGAAGAGCTAATGGGAGGAGCTCTGTTGGATATTTTACTGGTGTATTTGGTTATTTGTTGGTTGGTCCAAGCAGATGGTGTGAGATGGGATGTTTAATGGCTAGGCACTGGTCACAGTTCAGAAGCTGTTAGAGAAAGTGCTGTAATAATGAACTCACTGCACATGGACATCTGCACACACTCCACCTCAAAACCAAAGCCAAAAGCACATCTGATGAGAGAGCCATGATGTCTGTCTGTCTGTCTACCTATGTAGCTATATGTCGTCTGTCTGTCGGTTTCTATCTGTCTGTCTGTCTGTCTGTCTGTCAGTCGAACATTCTGTCTGCCTGTTTTATCGTTCTATCTATTGTTATGTCTGTCTGCCGATCGACCTGTCTGTCGTTCTAACTAGTTTCTGCCTGTCTGTTTGTCTATCTATATAGCTGTCTGTCTGTTTATCAATTTGTCTATCGTTCTATATATCATCGTCTGTCTGTCTGTCTAGCTGCCTGTCTTTCAATCGTTCTGTCTGTTTGCTTTTGTCTGTTGCTTTTTCTGCCTATCTGTATGTCGTTCTATGTGCCTGTCTGACTGTCTGTCTGTCTGTAAATCGATTTGTCTATCTTGTTTTGCTCATTAGTCTATCATTATATCTATTGTTCTGTCTGTCTATCTGTCGTTCTGGGTCTAAAAGTATTTTAGTCAATCATGATAACAAAAACAAATAGAACAAAAAGTTATATCTGTCTGTTGTTCTAAAGCTGCATCTCAATAAATTAGAATGTTGTGGAAAAGTTCATTTATTTCAGTAATTCAACTCAAATTGTGAAACTTGTGTATTAAATAAATTCAATGCACACAGACTGAAGTAGTTTAAGTCTTTGGTTCTTTTAATTGTGATGATTTTGGCTCACATTTAACAAAAACCCACCAATTCACTATCTCACAAATTATTCACAAATTAGAATACTTCATAAGACCAATAAAAAATTCTGGAAAGTATGTTCATTTACTGTACATGTACTCAATACTTGGTAGGGGCTCCTTTTACTTTAATTACTGCCTCAATTCTCGATCTATAGATAGACAGATAGATAGATCGATCTCTCTGTCTGTCGTTCTGCTCTCCTATATCTATTTTTCTATGTGTCTATCGTTCTTTATCTCTAAGACTCTAGATCAGTGGTCTTCACAATTTTTTCATGGGAGCCGCACTGATAGGGCAAATTCAATCGGAGAGCCACTTTTACCGTTTCAAAAGTTACATTCAGTCATAAATAGCATGTCTTTTTATCAATCTGTCATATGCAATGCAATGCAATACAAAAGGGGCTATCATTCTTTATCATTTACCAGTCAAATTTGTAACTGAGACAAGATTATTTAATTAGATTTAAATAGATTATTGAGTCAGTGTCATGGACGTAGGACAGAGCAAGTGTAAATATATTTTCTAGTCTATATTTAGTATAGTATATATTGTAATGCCGCTGTTTTAGGTATTTTTTAAAAAATATATAAATTATTTGTAATAGAGCAGACACTGTCTGACACCGGACGCGACAGTTGTCGTGCCACGCCCTGCTGCGCTAAAAGTCTGTCTACACTGTCTACACAGTTGCAAATCATTTGAACGTAGTGTCAGTACAGTTCGTCATAAATAGAACGAGGCATCAGTTTACTGATGGGGATCGTGTCGCATCTCATGGCGCCGCACCGCATCCAGTGTAGACAACATCACTGGGTTCTATTGTCTTTTGTCGGATCGCGCCACTCGCGTCCGGTGTAGACATGGTGTGAGTTTTTTTAATGGGTTATGTTATAGCCCTGCTTGTTTTTAATGTTTTTATGAAATATCTGTATTGACTGCATGACCATATCATCGTATTATTTACTGCCGTGCGAGCCACAAAGTAAAGCTTGGCGAGCCGCATGAGGCTCGCAAACCGCGCAATGAGTAACACTGCTCTAGATGTCTGTCTCTTATTATCTCTGTGACTCTACCTGCAGATCACAGACTGTGTCTCTGATGTCACTTCCTGTCTCGGGGGAATGAGAGGCTGGGAAAAGCATAGCTTCATAGTCTTCTGTATTGCGTGTTTGTCCAGGAGTGAAAGGTTCTCTGAAACCAGGCAGAGTGTGGAGAGAGATACAGAGCATGCGTGTCTGTGATACTTGTTTATTGTCAGACAGGTTTATTATGCCAGAAAATGAGCATGCATGCCTGCTCCTGCATGTGTTTTCTGCAGAAACATCTAGTATGTCTGCAAAACTATTTATATAGCTGTATTTGGCAAGCTTGTCATCAATTTTGTCATGTAATTCTGTACTGAACTTCCCATTTTGTGTGCAGTTAGAAATTTAGATGGCTTGTGCTTGTCTTTTATTAGGGACAAAGCTTTTGGCTGCTCTACAACGATGACAGACATCAAATGAACTCTGAGTCATCATCTCAAAAATGGCTTATATTCTTTTTCTGCAATGACCAGGTACCCTTTCTCAGTTCAGAAAAAAAAAACAGCTTTAATACAGAGAACTATCATTGCCCTTGAAAGAAATGATGTGGGCTGTTTAAGTTAATAGGTCCTTTTTCATTTGGATGAATTTTCAAGATTGAATCATGAGAGGAAGGAAAAGCAGCTCTGCTGCCAGACCGAAAAAGCAGCAGGAAACGGTTGGAAATTAAGAGCAAAACTGCATATTATTCCTCCATCTGCGTCCTGTTAAATGCTTATCTGGCTGGCTCTTTATGGACTGTGTAGCGACGGCCAGACCTTGCACTCAGTCAGATGGGCTCCCAATTTTGGGATTGCGTTTTTGCTGCCTGCAGCATCTGTTGTCAATTGTCAGGGATGTAGAAAATGTGGCAGGAATGTTGATGGTCTACAAACTCATCCGCTGGGTTTTTGACTCATCTCTCTCTCTCTTTCTCTAATATCCCTCCAATCACCCCTCGACATCCCTCGGTCCATTCCCGGCACCGTCGCCGTGCGAGCCAGCTGCTATGGCAACTCTAGGGCTGTCAGTGGCTGAGTATCGCGTGATTAAGCTTCCGCTCCAGTGCTGTCGATGGTCTGGAACTGTTTAAACTAGTATCTGTGAGCCGAGCTAGTCAAAATGTCAAAACACTAATACAGCTCAATAAATCAGAGTAAACATTAAAGACATGCTATAGTACAGCTGTGGCAGGTAGCATATCACCAGAGGAGTGCACAATCAAAATTGGTTGCCAAAATATCACTTTGGTCAAACTGTTTGCTTGTTTTTTTCCCCCTCCTTCTCGGTGTAGATATTACTTCAGAGGGGCCCCGGGCACTCAGCCTACTGTTGAAATTGATCTACTCGAGTTATAATGATGAACATCCAAATGTTTAAGAAGAAAAATCCCCCTCACTAACGCAAATATCTCAACTGTCAATTTGCGTATGTTAGCTTTTTTTTTGCCGTTGCCGCTCTGCGGTTGCAAAAAATTGAGAGAAATGTCACGTCAAGAGCACGATGAAAACAAACTTGTCATTTCTGTCTTCAGTATGGCTAACCACATTTTCTTCTCATTTTGTTCTCCCTCATGTTCTGCCTGCCCGGGCCTGACGGATCTACCTCACTCGGTTGAACATCATCTCAAAGGTAAGTCACACCTATTTTGCTTCTGCCCGTGTCCAATCAGATTTGATCCGATTGCCGCATGTGTTCGATGGCTTCCCGCCGCCTGCTGTGGTTTGGGGCATGTGCTACTAAAACTCATCTGTGTTTTCATAAGAGGCCCTTTGCGGTAGCAAAAACACGTGTCATCTGCGACGGATTAGAACAACAAGATGGTGTTTCCTGTGCCAGCGCATTTTAGCTTGTGGTGATGCTTGACTATTTGCTTAATTTATTATTTATTTTTTCTAGTCTGTTTGTTTACCACTTAGTAGCTGGCATGGCTCTACGTAACTCTTGCGATTTGTCAGGCATTCGCTAATCACGTCGGCCTGTTTTTTTACTTTGGTTTATTATAATCAATATAGAACTTTTGCCAAGTTCCGACTGAGCAAATAGAGCCTCTTGGCAGCCCAAATTTGTACTTATTCCCTCCGAGCAATTCCGCCTCACTGGCATTGGCTAATTAAATTAGCCTGTTACGCCCCGCTTTCATTGTTCACGACTGTTGTGCGTGCGGATGACTAAAAACAATAATTTGTCTCATGACCAGCGCTTTAATTTCATTGTTTGTGTTCATTTGACTTTGACTGCTCGATACGGCAATGTAGTGGGGAGCCCGTGGGGTCTGCTGTTGACAGTGAATAATTAGATATCTTTGTGTCTCGAGGCAGAGCATCTAATGAATATCTGCGAGGTTCTTCAGGCCCCTGTGTCTCTGAATAAGATACAATAGCACTGCAGATTGTCACAGTATGGTATTGTTATAGACATGATAAGTGAATCCACGATACTGAGAAATTTGCCCCCTTTAGATTCATTAATGCAGCTTTGTTTGATTTGAATTTGCACTGTTGAGGAGAGTGATGACTTCTTCAGAGCATAATGTTGCTGAGACACTGTGTTCAACTTTGTGACCTTCTTTCTAGTTAATTAGCAACAAATACGTGGAGCTTTTATTATTTTCACGGATATCAAAGCATTAGCACATTTTATATATCTTTGTCTTTGTAAGTGTGGATAAACAAATGTTCAAAAAGTTTGGTGTTGGTAAGATGTTTAATGAAAGAAGTCTCTTATACTCACCAAGGTTGCATTTATTTGGTCAAAAAAAGCAGTAAAAGTAATATTGTGAAATATTATTACATTTTAAAATAACTTTTATATATAGTGCTGCTTGAAAGTTTATGAACCCTTCATAAATGTGACCCAAAAGATCATCAGATTTTCACACACGTCCTGAAAGTTGACAGATAATCCATGTCTTTTGTTTGATTGGATTCTCTTTGTCAACTTTCAGGACTTGTGTGAAAATCTGATCATTTTGGGGTCATATTTAAGGGTTCACAAACTTTCAAGCAGCACTGTATTATAGAATATAATTTATTAATATAATGGCAAGACTGGATTTTCAGTACCCATTACTCTAGTATTTAGTCTTCACATGATCCTTCAGAAATAACATTACAGCATTACAAATATCTTTACTGTCAGATCAATCTTGATCAATTGAGTGCAACCTTGCTAAATAAAAGTACTAATTATATGCTAAATGTTGTGTGTTTGTATATGTTGTTTATAATTCGTTGTTATTGTTTGTTTTATATGATATTATATTTTTGCAGTTTAAACACCATTTGTAGTTCGATTCACATACCGGTATTGACAATGAAAAGCATTTTTTGTATATATTCTCAGGAATATTCTTGCCTTGTATCTATCTTTTCAAAAGAGAGTTGTGTTCTCTAGAGTCGTATATGAACGTGTCATGAAAATAACATGCAGAATGGAGCCCTTCTTCTAAAGTCTTTTTTTCTGTGGGGTAGGAAACAGTGGCTGATGCAAGAACGCTGATGTGAGGAACAGGGTTGGCAGGTTTACTGTCTTGTTTGCTGAGGCTGACTTTAGATCTGTTTGGCTGCTTGTGATGCCAGAGCCAAAACCAACAGATGGGATGAGCAAAGAAAGTGGCGCTTTAGAGTTTTTCCTATGTGCGGCACTGGGCCAGAGCACACTGACTGTTTGGCAGCGAGTCTCTGGGAAAAAAAACTCAACGTCTCCAACGCACTGTCATGGCCTGGTGGTTTACCGCATTGAGAACTTTGTCTTTAGTGTCATGAGCATGACTGCCAAAAAGCCACATGTTAAGTACAGTGAACTCTGCTCAAGATAATGGGCTTTTTTGTTTGTTTGTTTTTTTTTAACTAGCAAATCCACTACAGCAATATGTATCACCATTGTATAACTTGTTCATAACTTAAAGAACGAGTTTATATTTAAAGAAACAAATTTCCTGATTTACTCACCCCCACGGCATCCAAGATATATATGGCTTTCTTTATTCTGCTGAAGAGAAATGAAGGTTTTGGAGGAAAGCGCTCCAGGATATTTCTCCATCTAATGCAAGTGAACAGAGCTCAACGTTGACCATTTGTGTCTGTCCAAAATCCATATTTAGGCAACTTCAAAGGAATCCACATGACCCCAGCTGACAAATAAGGGTCTTTCTCTAGCAAAATGATCATATGTGTATAGTCTGGAAATGTTTTTTTTTTTCTCTTCTGAAAAATGATTGATCGTTTCACTAGTGAAGACCATATCTGATACCCTTATTTCTCTTCGACTGAAGAAAGTCTTGGATGGCCTTTAACTTACGGTTAAAAGAGCCAATCACTTTTTTGAAAGAGTTGCCACCCTGAAAATGTAGTCTTTTACATAATTTGGGCTAAAGCAGCACAATTTATGATGTAATTGTCAGAATTTGCTGTTTTCGAACAAACTTGTTTCAAAAATGTTATTGAAACAAACTTGGTTTCCATTGATGACCTGTACTTGTATGTGTTACCTACATGATAAACCCTCTATTATATGACATTTTCCATTGTGGAACCACAATTAATCATGGACAACAAAAATGGTCACAAATAGGCCATCAGTAAGCATTTTTGGTGTAATTTTTCATCCATGCCAATAGGTGTTAATAAAAAGTCCAACACCACCGTTGAGTCACCCGGTAAAACAAGCCAACAATGTACTCAATTGGCTTTTAAAGTCAATAATCAACCATTAGAACATAATCAAGAGATAGTTTGACAACCAATATTTCAGACGTTCGGCAATGCCAAGGTCATGGGTGCATTTCCAGGGAATATACTTCCTAAAAATAGCTTCTAAGTCACTTTTGATAGAAGCTTATGCCAAATGCATGAATATAAATGTATCCAGTTTAGCTCTCCCTGATACAGCAGAGCATTTGTGATTCCCTTATCACACCTGCAATGTATTAAAAGCTGACACCCAGCCTCCACTGAGCAAAATCCATTTGAGTTTTAATCAGGAAATATGATTGCCATATTCTTCATCTCAACGCACTGGGCCTCTGCACTTGCATCCAGCACCACTTTACGACAACTAACTTAAGGGGGAATAGGACCAGGAAAAACAGAAGAATAGGGAGGGAAGTGTTTAATGATCTTAAATCACTCTGAGCCTCTGAGAGGAGAGAAATATATCATCCGTTTTGCTGCTCGTGACTGTGGGGAATATTAGAGTCAAGGGAAGAGAAAGAGGTGTGATGGATCCAGTCAAGCTGCTAAATCAGTCAAGCCATGTTTATCTGCTGCACAGATAGGTGTTTGACTGCTCTGGCCTTGTGCTTCTCTGTGGGGTGTAAATCTGCAGGAGAGAGAACGACTTTACGAAGAGAGCCTAAAGCTGCTCTGCGCCGCCACGACGGCCTTGTTTTCAACTGTCTTTCCTCTCTCTCCTCTCCTAACCTCCCAGTCCTCCCTTCCATCGCCATTTGTTGTCATATCATGCCAAAATAATTAAACGCAAATATCCCTGCAGGCTCCTGGGATGTAGGCTTGTCACTAATTAGGGATGTTTTGTGGGAAGTTTGGAATCCCAGGGATATTTTTTTCCCTGGTGGGGTTTGTCTTTTCATCTGGTTCCCAGTGTTATTCTTATGCAAGCCACATGCTATAGGTGATGGCTTTAATCTTTCCTTTTACCCCCGTTTTCTGATGAAACAAACCCAGCTTTGTTTTGTTTCTTTGTTTTTTGTTATGATTTTACTATCCGTCATCCCTCAGGAGAACTTTACATAGATTATTCAAACATGGCCACGTGACACTCAGGTTTTTGAACCAGTGATTTGTTTCTTTTGTTTTTGTTTTTTTAGTTCAGTCATGTTGCATATTTCAATGTATTTTATTACTTTCATTTAAGTATTTCTTTATGCCAATTTTAATTACAAAGTTGTTTAACACAATTTTATTTTTCCTCATGGTCATGAGCCAGTACTGCAAAAGGTGCCCCCCCGCCACACCCCCATACAGAAAATGTGCATGACACCCTTATTTTAGCATATTTATAGGTTCTTTTCTTCTTTGTTCGTATTTTCTTTTGGATGAAAATTTCTCAATATTTTGTGAATTAATATCCACCTTGCATCATGCATTTATAACTATATGTCAGTTCTTTCTTTGTCTGACACATCTTATGTACACTGTAAGAATTATTATTTTTTAATTAAAAAAGCATTATTAGAGTATGTTTTACAAGAACATTCTATTTCAGTCTTTCTACTTTAGAATTTCACATTTAATTCAACATGTTACTTGCCTTTTCTTTGTAATTATTTTAGAAATTTGCTAGCAATTTCTGAGTGAAATTTGTTCTAACTTTTATCTTATTTTTACTTGTTCATGATATTATTAAAAAAAGAAATAATAATAATATACAAATAATGTATGTTTTTTCAGTAGAAGGAAAAATCCCTTTATTCTGTTTCAGAATTTTCCTTCCATTATTGCTTGTTTTAGTGTAAAACCCATACTAATGAGGTTGTGCAAATCATGTGAATGTTGTATTACATTTTTAATTAGGTAAGTTGAAACAGTCTGATAGAGGCCTAAATTGTACCATCAGCAATGCTGTCATGAGTGTGCTTTTAATTCAACATAAAAAAAATCACTGATAAA